CCCAGAAAGAGAGAGAAGTGGATAGGGCGTGTGGGGCATGGGTCCCATGTGGCCTTGATATCCCACACAAGAAGGGCCCTTGCATGTGTGGGGCCATGGTCTTTGGCCCCACACATGGGTCAAAAATTTATTCCATGTGAAAACAAATTTTATAAAATATCCAAAAGGACATAGAATAATTTTAAAGAATAAAATAAATTTTAATTGCTAAAAAATATTAGATTGAATTACAAATTCAAGGGCATAAATAAAACTTAGAAATATATTTTTAGTGTATCATAAGTTTCCAAAATACAAATAAATACTATTGAAAGAGGATTGGGTCCAATGGGACAAGAATATGCAATTTCTAAGGCACGCTTCTTATGCTAAAAATCTGTGACCATTAGACTATCTTCTCAATCAAACCCAATGGGACCCACGACCCAAAGTCCATCACAGGGGCTCATGATTAGCCCATCAAAACTGACCAATAAATATTGGGGACATGAATTTAGTGCTTAGATTTCAGGTTCCCCCCAAGGACATGTCATATCCATAAGGATGAAGGCACAATTTTGCAATAGTGTAAGGGGTACTCTCTTCTGAAAACGCACATGACCTATCCTTGGCTATTTCCCATAATTCGGCTATCATGTGTGCTTGTAATGCGGTGGTTGTTGAGGATTGCCCTCACAAGTGTCCAACCACATGAAGGAGACCATCAGCCTCTTGGCTCACAACATCATCCCTGAGTATCTTAACCTCGATGACAGATGACGTTATTGTAGAACCATCTCCGGTGGTGCCATAGGAAAAGGGGTAAGGTTTTGGACTCACTCCCAAGTCTGTCAAAACAACAAATCATAAAATATTGTATTGGTCCTACACGGACCACACTCCCATTGGAGTACATATCGACTTTTTACATGCTCTCAAAGCCTTTAAAGGCCACGGACCCCAGCAAAACCAAACTTTTCCTTTCCAATAATGCACACGAGCATCATATTTAAAAGAATTCTTTTCTTGAACACTGCATAGAAACTCAAACATCATGTCCACACCACAACAAAATGGTGTGGCCAAACTAAATAATGGACACTTATGAACTTGTAAGATCCATCTTAATTGGAATGGAGGTTCTTAAGACATTTGGATGAAGTTGTTCTTACTGCTGCCTATATGATAAATAGAACGGCTAACCTGCTCTCGATGGTGCTTACCATTTCAAACTTCTCCCCGATGCACTTCCTCTATTTTTCTCTTCCCCAAAAACCTTTGGTCGTGTCTGCTTTGTACATACCTTAGGGCTGGCTAGTAATAAATTGGCTTGCTAGGAATAAATTTGGAGCCATTCTACAAGATGTGTGTTCCTAGGATACATAGTCTCTCAAGAAGGTTACAGTTGTTGTCCAGTGACTAAAACTGTATCAAAAGATGTTGCGTTCTAAGAACATATTGTATTTCTCTTCCCTGAAAGATGTGGTATCCACTATGCCACCTGAGAATCCTTTTCCTCTTCAATGGTCACAAATAGTTCTAGTAATACACAAACATGTTGAATCTATTGAGAAACAGTTGAAGTGTACACTTGGAAAAGCACAAGGGAGAGTTTATTACAACCAATCAACCCCAACTCATTGTCTTCTTAAGTATACTTCCTCTCTTTCTTGCCCTATGCCTTCTCAACCCATTTACCTATTGCTGTAAGAAGATAAAAAAAGACTTGTACTTCTCATCCAATAAGTGATATTGTTTCCTATCATTCACTTTCACCCACCTTTTGTGCATATCTTCACTCTACTTCATTTGTACTTATTCCCACCAACGCTGCAAATGCACTGGCTCATCCATTGCGGAAAGTGGTCACGATTGAGGAAACGATTGCTTTAGAAATGCAATGAACTTAGGATGTAATTTATCAGATAGAAGGACAACATGCGACGGGACACCTGGAGGCATGAGCTAGATGGTTTGATTGAGAGATACAAGGATCGTCTGGTGGCTTAGGGTTTTACACAGTATATATGGGGTTGACTACAATGAAATTTTTCTCCTCTAGCAGACTTGGAATTAGTAAGAGTACTTTAATCTATTGTAGCTATCAGAAAGTGGCTACTCCACCAATTAGATGTGAAGAATGTCATTCGCCATGGACATCTGCAACAGTAAATGTATATGGCATTATCACCTGGGTTTTATCCTCGGGGGGAGAAAGGGAAGGTCTGCAAGTTGAGGAAAGCTATTAATGGAATAAAACAGTCACCTCAGCCTTAGTTAAAAAAATTTAGTCTGGCAATATGCCGGATTGAGTTTCAAAGAGATGTTTCTTATCACTCTGTATTTGTTAAAAGAGATTCTTGTTCTGCCATGATACTTATAGTGTACATGGATGATATTGTGCTCACAAGAAACAATAATCACGAATATTCAAAAAATCAATGGTTTTTTGGACAGTATTTTTAACATCTAGTGATTTTCTGGAGAGTATTTTTGACATCAAGGATCTTGGTCCATTTGAAATACTTCCTAGGAATAGAGGTGGTGAGGTCTAAACAATATTTTTTTTTTTTGTCTCAAAAGAAGTATGCTCTTGATCTCCCCAATAATACAGTTTTGCTTAGAACCGAACTGGCATAATCTGCCATAGAGGTTAATCACAAATTGCATGATCAGTACTTGGAGCCTTTGAGTAAGAGATTGATTGGAAGACTTGTCTATTTGACTGTCACACAGCCAGACATAATGTATATCATAAGCCTAGCAAGTCAGTTTATGCACACGGGATGCTTCCATCATTTGGAGGCCGTTTATCACATTTTATGATATTTAAAATCAGAGCCAGGGAAATGACTACTTTATACCAATAACTGTTACCTTGATATAAAAGGTTTTTTGTGATGTAGATTGGGCCATGTGTTCTCTTGATCAATGATCTATAGTGGCTACTTCATGACACTACATGACAATGAATGGTGATCTAGTCACCTTGAAGAGTAAGAAAAAGAATGCTGTACCCTGATCTTCAGCAGAAGCTGTGTGTCGAGTAATGGCAAGTGATACATGTGAATAATTTGGCTTTGTTCTCTTCTTCAAGAGATGGGTGTTAATGTATCAGCTCATAATCTTTTATATTTTGATAACCAAGTGGCAATTTATATTGCCTCAAACCCTCTAACCCATCAAAAAAGCAAGTACATTGAGGTCTACTATCACTTTGTAAGAGAAAAGGTCACTTAAATAATATGTACTCTATTTCTTCCCTCCTAGAATCAATTGATAGACATACTCAGCAAGGCTTCTAATTGAGTTCACTAGAAGACACTTTGGGAAAGCTGGGCATCTTGATATATATGCTCGAGCTTGAGGGGGAGTGTAGTGAATATTATGTCCCCATGCTGCTATTAACGAAACCTCCTATGATTGAAATTGTGATGATAAGGCAGATTAACCAAGAAACTTCACATTCTTGAAAACTCAATTGGTACCAAAGTTGACTCATGAGAATTCTCATATTCTTGGAAACTCGGTCTGTGCCAATGTTGACTAAGGTCCTTTGTTTAGTATCCTACTATGCATGGACTCTTTAATAGCCGTAATATAAGTGCATTTGACCTGTATTGTAAACCCCACCCTGATACATGTGTATATGCATGGGGCACATTGCTCCATGATTTAAACAATGAGATAGACATCTATGTTTTATTCAATCCTTGTGCTTGAATGTCCTTTTTCTCTCTTTTTCCTCAAACTTAACATACACCAAGATGGGTATTTTGGGAATTGAGCTGTAGATCCTACAGAAAGATTTGCTGGACCAAATTAGACATCTAAAGTACATTTTTAGAGATGGAAAACATAAGAGAAAGGTTTGAGTAGTTTGTTGTTTTATGGGTTTGACTTGGGTTTTTTCTTCACCACTTGGTATCATATTGGTACTCAATGTGGAAGCTTCCCACGATTTGTGGACCATTTTGTTGCCTAGTTGTTATTTTTCCCAATCATATGTTGTTTGTTAGGTATGATATGAATGAAATTTTCACTATGGTGCTTTAGTTTGAGAATTTCATAAACAATCCAAAAATTTCATTGACTAATGTAGTTGAAACCATGAAGTTGCATAATGAATTCATGATTTCCACAGCACAGCTGTTTTTTTCAAACCATTCAAGGATATTGATTGCAATTTATTTTTGGGATTTGTTAAGGAAAGAACCCCATGTGGTTTAAGTTTTTTCTTAGTTTTGACGAACAATTATGTCAATAAAGAAATCAGAATTACAAAGGCCCTTCATAAAATATCAGAAACTGAGGGGTCATATAGTTCTGCAACCTGACCCTATCTTTATGTGAACAATTTATCCTCCTTTGAGTTGCAACTCAGTAAAAAGTTGATTTGGAAATTTGATGATTTCTGTTGTAGAAAAACATTGGTTTCAGCCTTCAGATTTCAAAATCATTCTTTAAACATTCTGATATCCAAACAGTGAAAGACAGGAGTCCTTGATAGGTTTTTTAAGGTGGAGTGATCAATCATGATATCTTTGATGAGTTAAGACTAGTGGCCTTACACATCAGATTTGAAAATTTGATGATTTATGTTGTAGAAAAACATTGGTTTCAACCTTCAGATTTCAAAATCATTCTTTAAGCATTCTAATATCCAAACAGTGAAAGACAGGAGTCCTTGATATGTTTTTTAAGTTGGAGTCTTCGATCATGATATCCTTGATAAGTTAAGACTAGTGGCCTTACACATCAGAAATATGACCAGTGTTGGTAATTATCTGGAGAGATTACTTGACCATTCTGTTTATGATAATGAGGTGGATTTAGTTGAACATTTTTCTGTTACTAAGCCAATACCATTGAGAAATGTGCAGAGTTTCCGTTCTTCTCTTTGGATTTTCTTTTCTGTGGTAATAACTTGTACTATTTACAAATTAAGCAAATAGTCAATCGAAGATTTGTTGTGATGATGCATGTCAGATTGATGAACTCATGCCTTTACTCTTGGACAGGTAATTGCTATTACTGTCTTCTTCTTGTTAGTTGTTGCATTCTATGCTTTTTTCGCTCCATTCCTTGGAAGAAGTATGTGGGAGTATGCAGCAATTGCAGTTTATACTCCTGTGGTACGTACTGTTTCTATGCTGTTAGAACACTGCATTCTCTCAGTGAATTTCTGATGTTTTAGTTTGCATCTTTTATTTTCTTAATCTTTTAGTTGGTATCACAGGCACTGGTTGTTTTTATACTTTACATCCGTTGTACTGCCATTGACCCTTCTGATCCCGGGATTTTGGTCAAATTGGAGAATAGTGCAATGTATAAAGCAGACAATAGGCTGGGGTTATTGGGTAAGCATTTGCCAAGAGACCCCAGTGATGTTAGGCAAGCTTCCCCTTCTTCAGCATCTAGAAGTTCCATGGGTGTGCCATCTGGCGATAAGTCTTCCTTTGGTAATGCTCAAAGGGTAGGATACAGTGAGGATTCTGGGCAGCATAGTTCTTATTCTAAATTCAACATTGGAGGGATTCTTTGTGCATTATTTGTTAAAGAAGATTACTGCAGACATGATGGAATCCCTGAGGAAGGAGCTGGTGAAGACGATGCTTTGTTTTGCACTTTGTGCAATGCAGAGGTATTGGACTATCTCACTGGTTCTTACTATTCTGTTTCTTACTGAAATTCTGTTTGCTTGATCAGAAATGAACTAATATGAGTGGTTAGATAAAGGGACTTAGCTCGTAAGTGTTAAAATATTCACCTTCTCTGTACACGTGTCTATCTATGTTGCTAAACGAAAACATGTAGATGCAATGGCAGATCAAGTTGGTGTTGGACAAGTGCCACACGTTTGTCCATAGCCAAAGCAGTGTGCCACTTTCTCCACCAATGTAAGGCATGTTTATGCCTCAGTGTAACATGACGCTGTTTAAGTGGCAACACTCTATGGCTACACAGAACTGGGGATATAAGTTTGTGAGAGAGCATGGGGCATTAATTTTTAGTAGAGGGCATAGTTGCTACTTGCTAGGTTGAGTCACAAGGGATTAATTTTGTATCGCCATTACCACTTTGATCTTAAGAGTCCAGGACATTCATCTGTTCCAGTAAATAACTGTATTGGGACTGGTACCATACTATTTGATCTATTTGTTACTTTAAACATTTTGGACTGGGAAACTCATCTTGGTCCGACAATAAAAATAAAATAAAATAAAGTACTTAGAAATATAAAAAGCGAAACTATCATTAAAGGGCTTATATAATGTTACAAAATCTTTAAGCCAAAATATCTCATTTTCCTCTATAGTTTTAAGTTTCATTTCATAAAAGTAACTGATCAAAAGATTTGGTCAAAAAACCCCAAATCACCCCTATGAAAGGTTGGGCATCTTTAAAGCCAGGGGCATTTTGGTAAATTTGCTCGCTTGAGTATGTGTTTGTGTTCCCAGCTACTATAGGATCTAATTCCTGAGAGATATGGTTCTCAATCCTAAGAGTCGTTGGATATCGATTCCATTACATTGGAACACAAGGATCACTGTATAGTGTATCTAGATTCCCCATGATCATCCAAAATGAATGCTTTGTCTTCCTTTGCTGATTTAGTAAGCAATAATAAAAAGCAAGTTATTTCATGTATATATAGTTTTGGGTTATATTTTCTTACACCTAGCTATTCCACGAAAGACGTCCGCATTGCAGCATAAGTTTTGCTCTTAAAAGTTAAACTATAAAGGTCATAATTTATTCAATGAATTGATTTATCTACTATATTAATATAATGGACTATGGAGTAATTTAAAGTTCCTTATCTATTTAATAGAAGTTTAAGATTACATATTGTTAATTAATGACGATGGGAACTACCCTGTATAGCCAGGGAGCCCTATTTAAACTTAGATGAGGATCTTGTTTTACGAGTAAATGGAGCTCGCTCCTATAAAATTTATCCCTTGCTCCATTCCATGCTGGATCATTTCCTATTGCACTCCCTAAGTTAAAAAACAGATGCGTTCAGAAACTTCGTTTCCAAATCAGAGGATCTCACTCCCCAATGTTATAATAGTTGATCCCATCTAATAGAGGAACTCGATCCCTAACACATGTGAATCATGTTCCCTATGTTTGAGGCTGTACGGATATCGATTCCAAGCATGGGGATCTTTGGGGTAGCTTCGATCCGTGTTCCCGTCCCTGATCCTGAAACCGTTCCCGATCCCATTCCCCACAACTACGGAAAGCCAAATGACCATAATGCCCTTGGTTGTTCAAGTTTAGCAATACAACATTTTCATCATTTAATAGTTCCATGTTCCCAACCCTAAACAACAAGGGATAATTTTGTAATTTGATGCTATCCATTTAATTGGACCAAATCAATAAAATGCCCGCAGTTGTTTAGGATTCCCAACCCTGACAGAGGTAAGAAGGGAATTTTTTCCCAAAGTTTTTGAGGAGGTGCCTTTCTGAAATGAAATTTAAAAAGTAAACCCTGCAACGACATATTTTGTAAGATAATTTGAGCCCTTTAATTGTATTTTCTTTATGAAAACATAAAACTTAGAAAAGAAAAAAAATTCAAAAGGTTTATAGAAGGGTATGTTTGACTGAACGTAAATATGCGAATATATCAAAATTTTGGGCAATTAAAAAAATTTATAATACTAAAACAAGAAAAGCACGTTTGATAATGCAACTTGTGTCTCACAATATCTTGATAAAGGCCCAAATTTTCGTTTTTGATAAATTTAACATTGTATTACTTGGACATAAGCGGGAATACAGTAGATAGAGGGAGGAGAGTACCAGGATACCCACGAGACAGGTATCTGATCCTATACAAAAATATATTGAACTTTCAAAAAATGGGGCTTATAAGAACGCCCAAATACAAGGAGCAAAAAGGCGTCTAGTGTCCTAGGAAACCTCTGTGGTCCAGAGCAAAAAAGGAGATGGACCATTCAGGGTCTTCTAGATGTGATAGGATCAAGGAGAAGTCAAGTTAGACTTGAATTTTTGGCAATTATGCAAATCATATCACACTCTGTCAAATGAATTTTATGAGCCTTAGTTTCACTCTCGACCTCCTCTTTTTCTCTCTTAGGGTCTCATTAGGGCCCTCTCTCTGAGCCAAAATCTCTCTCACTCTCTCTTTCTCTCTCTTCGTGTTTTTCTTCTTCTTCTTCTTTGTCTTCTTCTTTTCTTCTTCTTCTTTCCCTCTACTATCTTATTCTTCTTCTCGTTAATGCACTATTTTTCAAAAGCGATAAAAAGAAGTGCATACTAGTTCAGCCACGCTATGGTTCCATTTCTTCACTGCCAAGGTAACCTGGACCCAGCGAGCTCTGTAAATGGAGACTGAATGATCCTCTCTGCCGATCATCTATCACAGCAAGCACTTACGATGAATTAGCTTCAATGGTTCAAAAGGAGGGCAAATTAAAGCTCAGTCTTTCTTTTTACGAAAACAGCGGCTGAATCTCTCCCCTCGAAAGATGACTAACTCTTTGATTTTCTCTTTATGAAAACAGTGGCTGAAGCTCTCCCCTCAAAAGATGATCAACTCTTTGCTTTTCTCTCTCTTAGATAAGGGGCCAGGTTATGCTCTACACCTTTCTCTTTCTAGAAATAAAGCTAAAGCCCACCAGCCATAGTAGCTGCTTCTTTGAGCCTCTCTGTCTAGAATGAGAGTGGTTGAGGTTCTCAATCATCTCTCTTTGAAACATAGTGGGGCTACCCTCTCCTCTTTAAAAACTAGTCAGAATCTTCTCTCTCTACCTGTCTTTCCCTCTCTAACCAACAACAATGCGTGAGATTTTACATAATCAACGAGGCTGTTTCTGCAGAGCACAACATCACAGTGAAGCAGGATGTGCTTGATTTACTTCAAGAGTTGTTTGCATGAATCTTTTGTTATCCGCCATGGATAGATGAGAGCAGAGCTATAGATGAAATAACTTTGTTTCAGAGGAAGGAATGGGGATTGGTTTTCAAATGGAGGATGTTTTAGTTAAGGACCCATATTGGAACATGAGATGTGGTCAAGTCAATTGAGAGATGGTGGAGATGCAGCACAAAAGCATCAGTCTCCATGAGGGAGAAGAAAATACAACTGATGCAAGAGCACCAACTTTCCCCATCAATGGTGAAAATGCAGGGGAAATGAAGCAGAGCAGAGATGCAAGAAAGAAAGATGACCTTTCTATGTAACACACTCATAGAAGAGGGACCTTAGGGGTAGGCTAAAGAGAAGAGAATATACACCTTCTAAAGATATAATTAATGTTATAAAAAATTGGCTAGATACATATTTCTCAAATTTTGAATATTTAAATTCTGTTTTGTCAAAAATGCCATAATGATTTAGCAAATTAAAATTTATGATAGTTAATAAACAAAATTTCTTATGGACAATCTTATTTGAGAAATCAAAATCATAAGATATTTGAATGATCAATTTTGTCCGTCTCATGTCGAGTTGAAGGATCCAGTGAAACAATTATGATCAACCATGCAATTCATCAGCCTCCATAAAAGGGATATAGTTACAATCATCTATAACAATAATTACTATTTATCAAGTCAGAAGTATATAATACTCTTTGAAAACGAAAGCAATTTATCGATCCACTTGAAGAATTAATGTTGAGGGTCTGGACATTATTGATGGACGTGCACAAGAATCCCTGCCAGGACATGGAATTCCACCTATAGTAAGGGTATCAATATTAAAACATTAAACACGTAAATTCAATACTCTTAGCTTTCTCAAAGGGTTAAGGTTTGAGGTTTCACATGACCACCACTTCATAAAGGGCATTTTCGTAGAGGTATTTTAGCAGGACTGTTCCACCTGAAATGGCTAAGGAAACAAAGTTTGAAATTGCATCCATGAGCTTATTGCCTAGGCGACAATCCAGAGAACCATAAGATCACCTGAATGGTTTAATTATTGATCATGCTATTAAACAGCCCATTGCTTCTTTTTTGCCTTTTAGTTTGGTTTCTGTGAAGACCACATTTTGTGTTTATTAGTTGTATTTCCTGGTTCGTCTAATCTAACTGTCTACTTCAGTCCTGTTCGAGAAACACTAGTCTATTCTATCTGTGCTTTAGCTTCCAATTGCCCCCTACCTACCCCTATTGTCGAAGGTGAAGTCGCAAGAGCATTTTACTACATTTGATAAATACTATGTTTAACATTATTTGACTAGTACTTTTTTTTTTGGGTAAGTAAAAAGGCAAAGATAATGGAAGGATTCGAACCCTCACCATAATGGACAACAAAGCATGCAAACTACCCAGCGTGCTACTTGAGTGTTGCTTTATTTGACTAATACTAAGGTGAAGATGAGACCTTTTCGTGTATGTTTCTTGATATCACCAGTGCTTAGACATCTGTTAGAATTTTTGAAGGACTGAACTTTGGGTGAATCGTGGATTCCATCTTAACATTTTGGTGAGGCTAGGAAGTCTGCTTTTAATGCATGCAGCTTCATATTAAAGAAATCATAAAAGAGGGACTTCTTTCTTTGTCTCTTGCTACTTTGATAGAGATATACGTGTTCCATGCTACTTGAAATGTTCTTCGTATTTATAACCAGAGCTTGTGCAGTGTTGCTAATGACGCTTTTTGTGTTGCCATGTTTTCTGTTTCCAGTTTCGCATTGCTTTTAATAAGTTGTTAGTACCGAAGAAGCACTTGCTAGTACTGCAGGCGTGTTTCTGAACATCTTAGGATCCTATATTTAGGACTTGGACATGCAATTGCCCACTCAAATAAAGTGGAGTCTTTTTTAGTTGAAATTTGAAATATATACAATGCCTCTGAACTTTTTGGATTGAATCATATGACTTTTCTACTATCATGAAATGAGATGTTGAAGAGGGGAAAATGGAAGGAAAAGAACATAGAGAATACAATCAAACCAGATTCCCAAAAAAGTAAGCCAGGAAAAAACACAAATAGCTGAATTTTCGCCTACGATACCTACAGTAGAGAAGTAATATTGAGGATGATGCCAATCAGGAGGAAGCTATAGTCGGTTTCCCTCCCTGAATTTGTAGATTTAGAAACTATATCTACTTCCATAATTGGTAAACGAAATATAT